AAAAAAAAAAAGAAGAGTAAATGATAGAATGGGCTTTTGCTCTGAAGTATCTGTTTAAATAGTTTGAAAGATCACTATAATCTCAGACATTCTTTTTTATTAATGTACATTTTTTATCTTGTAATTTTGTTAAAGCTTTTTCATACTTTTATAGCAAACTTGGTGATTATCTGTTGTCGTGTTACAGCAACAGCTTAACAGATGTAAAAAGTTGGAGATTTCTTTTTTGTCTAACAATCAGTGTCAAGTTGATACTGTGCGAACGACTTACTTCGATATCTCAGTGCATCTTGACTAATGCTCTGTAAAAAAAATTTATAATTTGTCACATTTAATTGTTGAAGTTGTTAGCAAAAAAAAAAGTTACTGATAATATTTGATAAAAAACTACTCTTCAATAATTGATTTATCGGTCTATATCGTTGAGATAGTGCTTGGAGGCTTTGAAAATGGCATTACCAGTAAACCGACAATTTGTATTTGATAAAGGTTGGCAAGAAAATTATTTGAAGAAATGACGAAAAAGAAAAATAGAAAAAGACAAAAAAACTTTTTCTTTAAAGTATTATCAGCCACAAGAGCTGAAAACATTTGAGCATTGACAACATACGAAGTATTAACCAGCAGTTGATCGACATCATCAGATTTAATCAACTTTTTGCTCGGATCATATGGTCGTTTGCAAAGAAACCTTCCCAGTTTATTTTTAAACCAATGAATTTTACCTATAAATTGATAAAAAATATTATTGCTGTTAACAGTGCAAATATAGATCAAGAAAAGCAGTAACGGTTTTGTCACCTCCATAAAAGTGCATAGAATTTGTACAAAAAAAAAATAATAATGATAGCTTTTTCAAAATTATAGTGCGGAATCAGCAATTAAAAGATAAATTTTTTATGCGAAAGCTTAATGTCTGTATTAAGACGACTAATCTAGTTTCTTTTACAACTGTATAGGAATGACTATCAAAATTATGTCAATAGAGGTAGACTTACTTTTGTATTCACAAACAAAAGGATATCTTTTTATTTTTTCTGAAGTATAAAAATGCCCATTTCTAGAATTGTAGAATGTATGTTCTTGAGTATTATTTACGTTCCTTAAACTTTCAAAAATATTGTCGCCAAGATTCGCTATCACTCCATCGGACCATCTCCAATGACCTTCAGATTTTTGGAGTCCCAACCAGTAATCTCCAATATATGGATAGAGCACTTCTAAAGAGGAAGGAAATCGTCTTGGTGCTTGCTACTGTACCAAAGTCACTGACCAAAGAACAACGCTTAGAACTGAGAAAATCTGCAATAAAATTCGCAAGAAGAAAAAAATTTTGATAACCTTTTTGTTGGGTAGAATTCAACTGGTGTAGTGTTGTGGACAAATGGGTATCCAAAAGAGACTCGCAGAACATCAAAGCTTCTTCATACATGTAGTCATAGTAAAACTGCAATAATATATAATAATTTTAACCATAACAATTAGTTATTTTTCAAATTTTTTATTGTAGTAGTAGCAGCAACAAAAACAACAAAAATAATTGCATTTAATTATTAAAAAATGATAGTTCAGAAAAAAACGCTTACAGCTTTGTAGCAACGATTATTAAAGAATGTCCATCCGGAATGACACTTTTTCTTTGCTAAACAAATATTACCAATTCTGATTGGAAGATACTGAATTTAATTCATATTTGCAGAGTCTTCTAAGCTGATCATATCAAAATAGGTTTGGAAGTATTTTAAACTGTCTGCAGAAAGATTTGTCTGAACGTCAAGACATCAAAGTTTGAACTGTTGAGAGCAAAATCAGTTTTAGAGTTTTAAAAGTTTCTAACATAGTCTAAATAAAATTAAAAAATAACTTGGTAAAATACATATTTCTTCTTTGAAATTAAATAAGTGCTAAGAAGTATATTCTTTTTTGTGGCAATAGTGTTGAATAAATGTTATAACTTTAAAACATTAATTTCCTCACGCTTGCCTTGACTATCAAAAACTTTAAATTTCGGTATGAGATCAGTGTCGGTTTCTTTCGATCCTCGTAATGGCAATTCTCCGTAAAACCATGCTCTTGGAGTACGCAGTGAAAAACCAATTCTTGATATATTTGCAGAAAAACTTTCTAAAAGATAAAAAAAGAAGAAATTTTTTGTTTTTATATTATTTTTCAGAAGAAACGATACATCAGTCATGAAAGACGAATACAAGTACAGAAAAAAATTGCAAAAATTTTGGAGTGCACAAATAATATCGCTGTTGCAGGATAATAAAAAGTATGAAAAACGAAGGAACGTTGTTCAGACAACCTCTTAGAAACCAGTACTCTTCTTCGTTTTCCGGAAAAACTACAGAACCATGCATCTTCGTGATACAAAATTTTTCTCCTGACTCAAACGATGCCAATCTCTTTAATGAATTATCCAAATCAAAATATTTGCGATTAACCTGCAATAAAAAAACTGATAATACAAAAAAAAAAAGTGAACTCTAGAGAATGCCAAACAGAAATACAGTAAAAACTACCGAAGCTTAGCAAATTTTGTAAGCGACTCAGGTACAGTTGTAGAATTTTTGTTATTTCTTATCTTAACCGCTTTTTTCCTGTTTCTACTCTTTAGTCATTTAACGACGAAGAATAACTCAATTTGTTGTTTTTTTTTTCTTGAAAACGTATGAAGAAATTTGCTGTAGCCACTTTTGA